GTGTGTGTGTGTGTTTGGGGGCGGTCATAGTGTCTTGTGCATTCATGCTGCTGTATGGATGTTCAGGGGAGTTTCCTTTCTGGCTGATATTGTGATATTTTAACTGAAGCAAGTCTCCTGAAAAAAACAACAACCTTCTCTGTGCTCACTGAAAATCAGAAGGACAAAGAACATTCAAGGTACAAGGTCTTGAACTCTGGTCAGATTTGTAAGAACTTGAGTTCTTTCAGCAATAAACTCAGAAAATAGAATAAAACTGTATTGATAATTCAGCATCAGAGTGGGTTTATGCTTCAAGTGATGGCTTTAATTCAGAGGAGTAGTTTAAAGTGCAGAATATTCAGCTGCTGGCTTACACTCCTGTGCTTTTTATCAACTTTTGAAGCTTCTGTCAGACTGAGAAGTGGAACACAATGAGACAGCTTATTGCTTTCCGGTGAGATTGGCTTCAGTTGCGTTTTTCTCTCTGAATTTCTTTTCCAGGGGTCTGATGAAACCGTTCGAGTTGTGTCCATGGATAAGGACTACCACGTGGAATGCTATCACTGTGAGGTGGGTGGAAACAATAGTTGCTGCTTCAAAACTGAAAACAGGCGTGTTTAGTGGCACTGAGCCAGAGACCCTCTGACTGTATCATTTGGAGTAATCATGAATGAATGATGACTAGATCCCCAATTTTAATTAGTCTCAGGGATAATTTCATACTGCAGAGGAATGCAAATGTGCTCATCACCACTACCTCGTCATTTTACTCAAATGCCTCCATTGACTGCTGTTCTTTCATTTCATGTAAATAAAATCAGTTTCAAGTTGTTCAAAGAGGAGAATCAAGTTTTTTAGTCTTTGTAAACAGATTTCTCTCTTTGAACTGAAATATTTACCAATGATAGCAAGTTGAAATCGTGTTGTAAAGGCCTGTAGTTCTACATTTCTGTTTTAATCACTGCTGTGCAATCCTTCAGTTTTGGTATTTTTCTATTTTGGTATATGGCGATCTTTCAGTGGTTGAAAACGAGGTCAATGCAGAGCAGAGCAATGATCCTCTACTCTGTGGGCTCAGGCTCATTCAGTGGATGCGTCTCTCTCATCCCTCTCATGTTCATCAGGACTGCAAGATGGAGCTGAACGACGAGGAGGGTCACCGCTGCTACCCCCTGAACGGCCACCTCCTCTGCCACTCCTGCCACCTGAAGCACATCGAGCCCGGCTGCTCCTCTCCCATCGCGACCTCCTCCTTCTGAACACTTCTGTAGGTGAATGGAGACGCCTGGTGGATGTAACAAAGAACTGCCAAAGAGTGACTTGAGCTCCAGGAGCGTACATGGACAATTCTTGTTGTAGAGGATTGATTGATTTAATGCCTCAAATAACATTACGGTTAGGTTTATATTTTGACAGGAATGTTAATAGGAAGGTTATGACGCAGTGATGAAGTATTGTAATTCACCAAAACTCTTCTTTGAATGCTATATATTGACTTTGCAGTAAGTTTTGCCATATCAATATTTTTATGTAAATATCAGTTGCATTGACTGTGTAAATATCTTATAGTCAATTGTTTTAGATACAGTGTGCCTTCAAATCCCCTTTCACAGGCCTGCTGTTAAATTACAGCTCAAAATGCATCTGCGAATCCTCTGTCCAAAGGTTCTGCTAAGATTCACAAAAACAAATGTAGGTTAAGTCCACGGAAATCACTGGTACCTCATGTTTTAGTCAGACAGAAAGGATAACCTAATATTCAGTCCACTGTTGATAATAAATGTTTTTTTTCCGTCTCTGAATGGAGAACAACAGTTTCTACATGCAATAAATGAACAGCAGCTATTTTTTAATAAGTATTATTTTAATCTGTTCATTCTCTTTATATAATGGTTACCAGTGGTTGAGTTAGGAGGTCCGACAACACAGACCCTCAGAAAAGTGAATCGCACACAGAGCCAGCAATGTTGTTCATTTCTCATATGCGATAACTTATATGAAATAATAACTTCTGAAAACAAACATTTCTTTGAAAATGTTGCTATGCCTTTCTAAACTCAAAATGTTTTTATGACTTTTCCTTTTTGTGAAGTCTCATCAGGAATGCAGAGGAAAGCCAGGTAATTGTTGTGTGGTGAATAAACAGCCGCTGTTTGTCACATGCCACCTGTTAGCACTTATGCTACATGTTTGAGTTTTCTATGCACCTCTGAAGAGGTTAGGTATTAGACCTGTAGAGCTCTGATTCTGTTAAGGTTGCGTTATATAAAAGATATAAAAGATACACAGCTGAGGTCTATATTAATGTACTTTTGTTTCATTCGTGCAAAAATAAACCCCTGTGATACTAATTTGATTTGCAGTGGTAGGAGCAATTTTGATTGATCTATCTTTGCCATCCAAATGTGATCAGTGTCTTCAGTTTACTAATTTAATACTTTGTTTGTCATTTGAGGTTCTTATCTCATAGCCAACTGAAAACTGAAGATGAAGAGCAAACATATACATATGTGCTGTTAAGAAAATATTTAATAAATGCATCGCAATTTAAAGACGTGGTTTTGATCTGACTTTGATTTTTTTTAGCAAAATCGTAATTTGTTATTTATTCATTGATGACATTGTTTTTCAGTCAAAGCGTTATTTTTCAATATTTTTAATAAAATTAATGTTTTATCTTATCAATGGGTCCACAATGGAAGAGAAGAAGTGTGCGTTGAATATTGTGATTGTTAAATGTTGGGGGCTTTATAATTGTTGGTTTTTCCAAAATTGAGCGGAAAGGAAAAGATACGAGCTAGCCAGGAGTCGAACCTAGAATCTTCTGATCCGTAGTCAGACGCGTTATCCATTGCGCCACTAGCCCATATGTTACCACACTCGTTAGATTATGTAGTAGACCTTGTTTAAGGCGGAAACAGTTTCGTGAGGTTTGGTTTCTTTCCTCGTTGTTTTACAAGAAAAATGAAGAAGTGTGGTTTATTTTACTCACGTGGTGTATTCGAAGCGGAAGTGAAATTCAAGACAGTTCCTACTACTTAACACTATTTACACTATTTCGAACGGAAAATAACTTTTGCATCTGCACATCACAATTTGATTTGGAGGACGAGTATGGAGGACGAGAAATGACTTAAGTATA